AAAGAAAAGAAGAAATGGGGTCAAATTGAAAATTTTAAAATATATAAAATTCGAATTTGGCCCTAATGACCGGAAGTTAACCTAGAAACGGGCTAATGGCTCATTAGTGAAAGGATTGTGTAAGTTCAGGGATTTTTGTGAAAGGATTTGAAGTTCAGGTACCACTTCGAAATTCCAGCTAAAGTTCAGGTACCATTTGTGAAACTTACCCCAAAAGATTGTGAGAAACTTGATTAATCTTTGTTCAGCTAATTTAAATTTTGTTTATTTTATTTGATTCCCCCTTGGTACTTTTAATAAAACCTCCTAGTACACTATGGACAATGTGTGTGTTTGGCAACAACTTTAGCCTTTTCAAAAGGCTGTGTAATGACATTGTTTAGTTTTAACATTATTAAAAAAAAATCTAAAACGCAAATGCTAATTAAAAATGTTGTTCTCAAACAATGCCGCGAGATGATGTTTTGAAAGTTAAAGAGAGTTGCTTGATTGTTTCATCCGCCTATCTTATTTTCCATTAGATATATATGGAGTACATTTGGACTCGAACCCTCTTTTTTAAACATTTTTGACAAAAAGAAATAGTGACAAAAAGATTTTTTTTTAAACAGCGGAAGTCTTAAGTCTAAAAGTTTGGATTAATAAAAGATAGAGCTAAAGTTAAAAAAAATTAGCAAGCATTGGAGCAATTTGAATGTGGCGTTGTGGGTCCATAAAAGTGTTGGTTTGCCTCTTCAAAATAATCATCGATCAAAACACATTCTTTCAGTTACGAATTCTTTTGTTGTCCTATGGTTCTGAGGTAGGATTTTAGGGTCAAAAACTTGCTAACTTTGCAAAAATTGGTAGGTTTTGCGACAGAAAAACATGGTTGCGAAGGTGAATAAAAACAGTAGTAAATGATGTTTGTGACGGAAACCCTGTCACAGTATCATTAGTTGCACTTGGCACATTTGCGACAAAAAAAATTTGTTGCAAAGGTGAATAAAAATGGTAATAAACGATGTTTGTGACGAAAATCCTGTTGGAGCATCATTAGTTGCACTTGGCACATTTGCGACAGAAAGACATGGTTGCAAAGGTAAATAAAAATGGCAGTAAATGATGTTTGCTACAGAAACCCAGCCTGTCGTAGCATAGTTTTCAAAACCGGACCCGTGATCGAACCGGTCAAGGGTACTGGTTCATTGGTTCACTGGTCGGCTCAACTGGTCGAACCGGTGGTTTAAACATATTTAAAATATACATACATACATACATACATACATACATACATACATACATACATACATACATACATACATACATACATATATATATAATATGTGTGTGTTATAGTGGATCATATAAGGATAAAACGACAATCCAAGTAATATTGAGGCCCAAAGCTAAAGCCCATACATACGGAGTATCATTAGTCCTAATAGAAAATATACGGAGTACATCGCAAGTGTCTTTAGTTCCCAAGAAATCTAAACGACTAAACCCTACTCTCAATCAAGCTTCCACAGCCGCCAACAAAGTTGCAGCGCTACGCATCTGCTATGGTCGGCTCTCTACCGCCAGTCAACTTCACCCTCTTCGCCATGGCGGCCTCCTCATGCATTCATCCGGAGTCATCGTCGATGCTAGCATCCGTCGTCAAAGTGCATCTACCGCCACCAACCGACGCCTACTGATCGGCAAAAATATGGGCGGTTTCCGGTTTGACCACCGGTTCCTACTGGTTCGATGCAGGATACGATCTAACCCCTTCAACCGGACCGCTCTGGTGACCGGTTCACCGGTTTCCGGTCCGAACCGGCCGGTCCAGTCCAATTTTTAAAACTATGTGTCGTAGTATCATTACTTGCATTTGGCACATTTGCGACAGAAAAATATAGTTGCAAAGGTGAATAAAAACGGTAGTAAATGATGTTTGCGACGGGATCCCTGTCCCACTATCATTAGTTACACTTGGCACATTGCTTATATGGTTGTTGTCGCAAATATTGTATTATACTGCTAGAGAGCAGCTTAATATTGTAAAGATTGATGACAGTTGGATAATAATTGAATTTTGAATATGATCACATTGTAGGAGATTTCAAATCACAAAATAATTTTGAAAGGGATACCAATTGCTAGATATGTTATTAATGTTAAAATATTAATCATACGAGAGCATTGAAACAACATCGTTCACACAATTGTAGTCTCAATGAATAGAGTCAGTAAAAAGGGTTTATATACATTGACTGAATTTCAGAGCAGCTGGTGTTGGATTATACGTTAAATTTCAAACAAGATAAAATTTTATATTTTTCTATGATTTTAAATAAAAATCAATGTCAAATATAATCATTTCTAAGAAATCACCCAAAGTCTAAAATATAAAAAAAAGTATCAAAACAGAAGTACCAAATTTTTATCTCCAAAATAAAAATTTGTACTGTGACAATGTCACATTATATATTGAAATTCTATAGTATTTTTTGGTATTAAATGTTGAAATTATTGATATTCTAACTCTTATTTTGGAAACAAAAATATAGAACTCCTATTTTTGTCTATTCTTTATGTTTTACTCATAGTTTAATCTTTTTAAAAAAATTATTTCACTTACAAATTAGTATAAAAATAAAAAATAAAAAATTTAAATATTTAAAAAATGAGTAAATTACATAAAGGTCCCTAATTATAGGTCGTTTTACATATTTAGTCCCTACATATCAAATATTACAAATTTAGTTCCTAATTTTTATATTCATTTCCACATATGGTCCTTTGTTAATATTTCCGTTAAGAACGTGGATAAAATTGTAAATTCACACTCATTTATCTCATCAATTAAGCTTCCTCCCTGCCCTCGCAATCCTTTTCCAAACCCGTTGCTGAATTTGAAGCTTTGAACCCAAAACCAAAATCATCAATCTTCTCTCAATTGTTCGTCTAACTGGTGGAACCCAAATTTGAAACCAGTAACTTTCATGGATGAGTTTTAATGTTTATTTTCTTTGGAATTTCTTGAGACTAATTGATAAAACTCATCCATAAAGCTTATTGATTTTGATTTTAGGTTTCACCGGGAAGACTAATAATTAAGAGAGTAATGATCATTTCACTTTTGGTTTTAGAGCTTCAAACTCAGCGACGAGTTTGAGAAAGTGTACGAGAGGAGGGAGGAAGCTTAATTGAAGAGAGAGAAAAGTATGAATATACAATTTTATCCATGTTCTTAACAAAAACGTTAACAAAGGACCATTCGTGAAAAATGATACAGAGTATAACAATTGGGGACTAAATTAGTAATATTTGATATGTAGGCACTAAATATATAAAACGATCTATAACTGGAGATCTTTTATAGAATTTACTCTTTAAAAAATACACCAAATATTTCATAAAGTAAATGGCGACGAGTGGAATACAGGTTTTGCAAGATTCTTTTACGAGTTTTACACAGATAGAGGTAATCAGAGTAAGAGTACATATACCATATATCTGGATGTATGTTATTTCTTGTACGTCGAGTTGATTACTCATTTTTGAATAACAGAATACTCATTTTTATCTAATTGAATATTCATGTTCGAACATAACTGAACTTTAGAAAAATACTCCCTCCGTCCTATAATGATCTTCCCAGAGCACTATTCCAACTTCACGGGAATTTATATTTATTTGTGTTTTTTCATGGTCTAAAAATATTCTTGTCACCACTTGTTTTGTTGAAATTTTGATGTAGTTTTTAAATATGTATGTTTTATTTTTTATTTCTATACCAATATTTAAATAAAATAGATTGAAAAAATTTGAGATTTTTATTTCGTTTTGCGAACCGGGGAAGATACCACTTAGGGAGTAAATGCCTAAATTCTCTAAAATGGATATCTAGATCCGCTACTCACTTTGGATGGATGCACACTGCACAGGAAAGACTCCAGGATAAAGTGCCTCAAGTAATCAACTACTCACCGGCAGATTGCTTCTATCTTCTTCTTCTTCGTTTAGGTCTGAGCCGCAGGTTCATCGATCGTTGGTACTCATCCACCATCTTCGTTTCCTTGTGCTTCTCCGAAACCACCGATTTCTCCCTCGGGCCTCATGAGTCTCTCCCTC